CTTAGTCTGTGCTGCATACAATTAAGTCCTGGTTGACATGTACAGTAGCATAATGCTCACCAAATAAATATGTGGACATGAAATATAGATCTGAAATGATTAAATATCTTACCTGTATTATTTTTAAGCTTCTACATAAAAAAGTATGTTATTATATACAAACAGTTTTTTTTAGTTTATTAACCAACATCAACACAATAATAAATACTATAACAAATGCATTACTCATTGTTAGTTAAAGTTAGTAAATACATTAACCACTGTTAACTAATGAAGTTTTGCCTTAAAGGGGTCATCGGATGCAAAATTCACTTTTATATGGTGTTTGCATATAAATGTGTCTTTGCAGTGTGTGCAACTACCATACAATGAAAAAAATCACTCCTTTTTTATCCTCAAAAACACTCTCAATATTCAAGCTGTTTGGATTTTCTGAGCAATATGATGTCATATGCTAATGCTCCGCCCACAACAGCTGACGGACTGTCCAGTATTAGCATATGCCTGCCCTTAGTCATTTGTAAGCTGTCGACCAAGGCAGCACTTTATGTGTTGTTTCCAAACCCCCCATGGAAGAGAGGGGTGTGGTGAGCATCATTTAAAGAGACATGCACAGAAACGGGTCGCTGTGAACAGAGCTATTGTTGAGGTAAAAAGTTTGTTTTACACAACCATTGAGGAATTTTGATGATCCCTTTAACATTTTAATTCATTATCATAATTATAAAACACACATTTGTTTATTGCACACACATATATATATATTTGAAAAAACACTCAAATATATATATGTATATATTCCGTTTACTGCACTATAGTGGCTATGCATCACAAGTCTCGGAAAATACCCTATGTTGCAAAATAATAACACGGAGGTGCTAAAATTGATCTGATACTGATTAAGATCCATAACTAGGTTGGAATCAACAAATTCTAAGCCACTGAAACAACATCTTACCATAGGTGTGGGGAAACAGATTGCAACAACGATTGCTTGCCATCAGATTCTAATCCACCATGTTTCTTATAGAAGGATATTTTAATATTTATAAAAATAATGCTGGTTAAGATCCAAACTGCAGTGTTGCAAATGGATGACAGCAAACTGTTGTACACTATTGAATGATCAAAATCATGTATACATGTATATCATGTATCCCAGGGTACAGCACAGTAAGTTTTTATCATATTGTTTGGTGTTTCTGACTTTCATTGTCCTTTGTAAAGTCAAATCCCATTGGCTCTGATAGCAAACTTGATAGACTGATTGATTGTGGCACACTGTATGTGTGCACTGTTTCGAGTTGAAACTAAGATTGTCTTCTAGTCACATTGCACACCATCTGTTGGTGACTATTAGAAGAGATATATTGGAATGTAACAGTTGACTTTGCAGTCTGCATTTGATGGTGTCTTACATTTGCATAATTATTTCCTCAAGTATGGAACAAGTATTACATTTGTGGTTCTTTAAATGGTAAATTACTTTTTTTTTACATTATTTTAATGAATTATTAACACTTTTACCAATTATAATTATGCTGGATTTAATATGTTTTTTTTCAGCATGAAAAAGTTGGAGAATTAATAAGCAATGTTTTCTTTTAATGCAATCTGAAGTACATTCTCACTTACTTTCATAATTTCCTCAAAGTGCGCAACTGCACACCAAACTGTTCCCACTAATGAATCAGACCTGCAGTGGAAAACATGATGAAACAGTTGTGTTCATTTTGAAGGGTGTGGGGAAAAAAAGGCTTTAGTCATGTTCTGCCAAATCATCAGTAGTAGTGCTGTACTGCAGATGGCTTCATAGAATTTCTGGCACTACAGTTTTTCTGTCTCCATTTTACTTCAGCAGATGTATGTATATATATATATATATATATATATATATATATATATCAAAAACAATAATTTGTACACCCATTTTCTGAGCTTGTGCTGCAATTTTGCAAAGTTTTAGAGCACAATCATTGGTACATTCCTTGAAGAATGCAACAATCCAGTTCTGTGTTGTACCTTTTATGTTTTATGCTAAAGTACCATCTCATATTGGAAACTTTGTTAAAAGACCTTCTCCCATCTGCCATTGAGTTCTTTATTAAATAAAATATCAAAGAAATCAAACAATGCATAATTCCATTGTGGACATTGTGCGGTCAAATATGGCACACTATATAGTAGAGTTTCTTTGCAATAGGCTATATGCACAACTTACTTCCGCATTCTGTAAAACAGGTTGCATCGCTTCCGGTCCAGGTCTTTTTATGTGCTTCATGATTTTTTTGCGGTTTTACTCAAGATAACTTAAAAGGAGCGAGCAAAGATTTACATAACCAATGTCCCTCACATGTGCAGATTGATATTTGAACGTTTTATATTTTTCTTCTTCACAGTAACGTTTAGATATTTAAACGGAATAAAACGCCAATAACAGAGTGAACTAGGTAGGTTAGCTGATTACCTTAAAAATCCATAGATATCGTAGTCAGTTCTTACAGCCGTTAACACTTTCTCTGACAAGCGGGTGCGATAAGACCTGTTTTCCGGTTTGGTCACATGACGCTCGACATAAAGCCTATAGTCAATTCTTTGCTTTATTTTCTGTCTAAAAGTTTCCAGTTTTCCACAAAAATAAATAAAAAATGTATGAAAACACAAGCAACAACAAAACAACAAGCAGCAAATTACTTTTGAACTACGATTTATTTTGTTTTATTTATTTATTTATTTATGAAAACACTATAATGAAACATATTGAGAATATCAGGGTTATAGACACATAAATTAGATAAATAGAATATTTCTCTATTCATTTCAGCTGTAAGGGTGGGGCTAATTGAATTCAAATTGCAACACAAGGTAGGGACAAAAATCAACCTGTTCTCATGAGAAAGCAACTATTTTTTGAGGTGACAATATTTTGTATAATTCCGTCAATATGATTAGCTCAGAAAGCGATTTTTAGAAAAAAAAAGCAAAGCATGTACAGTAAAATGCAGTAATAAAATTGAGTGTTATGACAATAGTTATGAATAATAAAGTGCAGGGTTTTTTTTCCCCAGTAGTGTAGGTAAAGAAATCTTAAAACCTACAGCAATTATAGTTTATAAAAGTTGTAGAAAAGAAAGTACAAGTGGCTCCAATGCTTTCAGACACTTTGCCTCAAGGTTCTGGGCTTAGTGTAGCATTTGGAGGTTAAAACCAGTGCTTTTATTGAACTGGAAGCATCAGACTCAATCAGTTGAAAACAGTTGTGACAAGACAAGAAGCTTGCTAGCTTTGAGATTGTTCAAGCAAGATAATAAGTAGAGAGCTACATCAATGGCAGCCATCTCAAACATAGGTCACCAGCCAATCAGCTTTCTTGCCCTCTGGGAACACCTCTATAGACGGTTTCAATGGCAACAACATAAACAAATATTACTGCGCATGCATGCTTTTGTGGCCCAAACTTAACTTCCGGTAGAATAAATAACAACAGAGTTCATCTGTAGAAACAAGCAAATTATGTCTTGCCAGTATTGTGAATTGGGACTACCAATAGAAGTAAAGAGCCGTTACTTGGCCAAACTTAAATGTGACAACGTTACAGACCCGTTCAACACAATTTTGAGGCAAACATTTTTTTTTTCTACTGGAGGTCATCAGGTAAATTTCTTTGAATACTTAGTCGAGAAGGAATGTGTGTACACAAGGGAGGCGTTCAAGGCATATCACCGCTTGGATGGCTAGAACAATTTTCATTATGGAAAAGTTAAAAAATTCAAACATACACGAATGGAACCTGTGTCGTTTACAGGGAAATCGAGGCGGGTGAGGTGATTTCAAAGACCTACTCTGCCTGGATCATTGCGATGAAGTCCAGCAAAATCCAGAGTGGGCATGGCAGGGTAAGTTTGGCTGGCTAGCTAACGTTACATTTTATAATAGCATTTAGATACACTTTTTCAATACTTCCATTTATCCCCTTGCTAAAATGTCTGGAACTATACAGCAATGGAGAAGTGTGTAGCCATGTGGGTACGATGTTGGTTGCTGTGGAGCAGTGTGTTCAGGATGGACTCCAGAGTGTTGTCAGAGTTTGGCCAGTTGTTGTTGTTGGTGTTCATTACTGAATATATAATTTCCTTTTATAATCCATGTGAAAGATTGTAATACAAGTGCATCACAACAAATATCATAATGCATGTGTTTGGTATTTTAATATAATTAATAATAATAAAAAGTAATCCTGTAGGTAAAAGTATCAAATTAAAGGATTAGTTCACCCAAAAATTAAAAATTCTGTCATTGATTTTTTCTCTCCCTCAATTTTGTTCTTAACCTGTAAGATATTCGGTCATCTTCAGAACACAAATGAAGATGTTTTTGATGAAATCCGAGAGCTTTCTGCCCTTCCATTGACATCCCAAGCAATTAAAAATAATTAATTTAATTTGTGTTCCGAAGATGAACAAAGGTCTTGCAGGTTTGGAACGACATGAGGGTTTTTAGGTGAACCTCTTTAAGTTGTGTTTAAGTATTGGTACAAGTGGTTTTTCCCCAGATTTGAAAGTGCTGCAGAAACAATTAATATTTTATCTATTGTGCTGTAATCATTTCTCCATTTGACCATACTAACTGCCAGGGTGTTCTGCAGAATTCTGAATGACTTCAGTTTTCTTATGGCCCTTTCCACGTGGATTCTCATTCGGGACATTTCTCTATAGTGTTCCAACTCTAATCCTGTCAATTGTTTACTTCCCTTTGTAGATGCGTGCACATGAAGACGAACACATTTGGTGGCAAAATATTCAGGAAATTAAAGCCATCATTTCAAATAAAATTGGACGGACTGCCAAACAGATGATCTTGTAGTCGTTTTTCTTAAGATTCCAGTTTCTTCTCCAGTGAGGACATTTTTCTTTTAAATTCTCTACCCACAGTAATGTATCATTCTTTAGGGTCAGCATGAGTGACCTTGAAGGAAGGTGAATCAATAGACTCACCAACAGATGGTCTCCTCTGGTATCGCTCCAACTTCTGTGAACAATCAATGGTATTTTTGAGCGAAAATTGATGGAACGTAATCTGGATGGCATGGGACCACTGATGGTGCACCTAAAATAAAGACAGAAACAGTTTGTGTTGACAGTATTGCACCTTGCTTAAGCATCATGCCTACAAGATTTGCATATTCCATAACTTTTCTGGTTTCATGTGCATTTCTATGATATTGATTATAACGTATTTATAAAAAAAATATATACAGTATATTAGTATCCTACTAATACAATGAGGTCAAAGTCGAATTTATTTCGCAATACACACGGTTTTAAAGCAGTTTTAAAGATAAAATATATCATTGAAAATGTAGTAAAAGTACTTCGTTTAATGCGTCATTAGAAAAGTGTGTGCTACATTTTGTGGCTATTACTGTTTATCAAAGCACTTTGAAATTAGGCAAAATTTTACAAGGAACAAAACAAGAGATGCTTATTCATTCTTTTTTCTTTTTTTTTTTTAAACGTGCCAATCAATTCCTGGCAGGAGTCGAGGAACCATGTATCTCACTGCACTGATTATACGCAGGCCATTTGACCTTCAGATTAAATATTTATGGGCTGGTCTCAGTATTTCAGAAACTGCTGAGATTCTCATGCACAAACATCTCTAGGATTTAGAAAGAATGATCAGAAAAAGAGAAAATATCTGGATTAGCTGGATTGGTTCGAGCTGATAGAACGACAACAGTAACTTAAATAACCAATCAGTTACAAGTGAGGTCTGCTGAAGAGCATCTCTGAACACACAACACATCAACCCTTGAAACAGATGGGCTACAGCAGAAGAAGACACACCGGGTGCCATGTCAGCTAAGAATGGTAAACTGTGGCAACAATTCACACAGGCTCAACAAAATTTGACAATAGAAGATTGGCAACATGTTGCCTGGTCTGATAAGACATTCAGATGTTTGGGTCATAAATTGGCTTAAGAACCAAAGTGTGGATATATATATATAGTGGAAAAGACGCAAGTCTGAATGGTTCTCGCGCTACTCATATGCTGAGAGAGAGATAAGACAGTAGAGCTACACGATTCATCTTTAAAAGACTGATCTCGATTCAAACTCTCACGCGATCTTTCAATTCACTTTTCAATTTCGTTTTCAATTTCGAAAAACTTTGACAAAATCATATCGCAACATTAAAAGCTGTGTTGGCGCTGCCGTTGACCTGGAGAGAGTTGTAATGAAACGGCTTCACAAACAGTCTTTTCAACCTCACAGTCTCATTATTTACGTGATGCAATAGTTAAAATGATCATAGAAGTACTTGGATAAAAGTTTAAAGTTCAAATATGAACACTGATGTCTACGATACCAAAATCAGCTTTTGATAGAAACTTGGTGCTTAAAGCTGCAGTCCGTAGTTCTTCCTCTTTGACGCCATCTCTGCAATCTGCAATTGTAGTCATTCACGGAATTTATCAACCTCACGTGGGTTGTGCCGCGGCACGGCACTGATGAATCCAATGTTTTGAGGTGACTGTGAGGCTGTCAGTCACCACACTGGTGTGGATACTGCCATTCAAAATCACAGATTATTATTTTGGGAAGTATGACCAACGTAAGAATTTTCACCTAAAAATGTCATCTGAACAAGTACTGTAAGTAACATCCACTTTTAATGCCGTTCCGATATGTATCCTTGTTTTCACATGGGTCCAGCTGCAGTCTCTTTTTTTCTGTAGCCACTCCAAAGTCTTTTCATTTTCTCTCGTCACTGGTGATTGTCGTTTGAACCTTTCTGGATCCGCCATTAAATTGATAAGTTTAATTATATCAAGTGCGTGAGAAAAGGCTATAAATCTCCACCTCCAACATCATCACACACAATATAGCCTTCTAGCCGAGACTCCTTCTTTATGTGGACATATGTGACGCAATGATGCAAAGACATGCTCGAATCTCCCACAGAAATCCACCAGTACCACTGGAATTAAAAACATTATTACAATTTTACCGTTTTGAATTGAGCTACAGCAAGCAGATGGTTTTGAACACTGGTTATGAACTTGATCAAACATTTATTTTGGATGATGTTTAACTACAAAAATGCAAAAATGATGTTACAGACTGCAGCTTTAAAAACGCATTTATCGATAACATATATCACAGAAGTATCGTGATAGTATCGAATTGGGAGATAGGTGTTTTTTCCCAGCCCTTATATATATATATATATATATATATATATATATATATATATGTATACATACAAACACACACACACAATTTTATATTTAATAATGGTCCATATTTAATACCGAAAATATTTTAAATGTTATTTTCAACAAGGAAGATGTCATATTTCTCTTTGTAATACCTAATCCTATTTTCATTCCCACTTGACACAACCGAGGTGAAGCTTCTGTCTGTCTGATGTTTTCCAGAGTAGCAGGTCCTTAGGGATTCTAGGTAATGTAGAACAGCTCACAACAGTCAGCAACTTTCAGCTTTGCTCACTGAAACCCTTTAAGAAACCTCTGTGGACTCTGCCAGCTCCAAATAACAGGAAGCAAATCCAGGTAAACAGTCAGCGAACAATGGATTCAAACACCTTGCCAAAGACAACACAGCTGTGCACTGCCTCCACCTGTATGCCATCTCTCCTAACGTAGCGGTCTTCTTTTAGACAACTGGAATATCTCCCAAATTTGCTGGTGGAGAGCAGAATGAGATGTCAAAGTGGGTAGTGGTGGGTTTCTTACACCTGACTATTTATAGAATAGCGATACACACACACATACACACACATATACACACATACATATATACACATATGCATACACACACACACACATATATATATGTAATATAAGCACAATAAAAATAAACTTCTTTTACAATACCAATACCAGAGGAAGTTCAAGAAAGTATTCTCCTATTTCATAAATCAAATTCATTCCCATATCTATTTTACAGTTTGCAGAGAACCCTCACACCAGGATGTCAAATGTGTTGAATAGTTAACACCACTACAAATGTCCTGTTCATTTACACTGCATAAAGCTGCCTTACAATATGGCAGACAGCCAGTATGCTCTTTTGGTTGTGACAGTCTGGAAAACGAATGTTTCACAATTGTGCTCATTTTGCTACCGATCCCTCTCTGTGGAGTGGATGTGAAAAGAGGAGAGGGCTCATTTAACAAATTCTATAAATGAATGAGAAGCTTTTGAACTAAAAGTGTGTGGATGCTTGTGCCTAACCATGACCAGGAACCCTCGTTTAGAAATGTGACCAAAAGCTGTTCTTGATTAAATAAAACACTGAATTGAATTACTTTGTGTTTTGAGAACATATTTTAACATTCAAAGCCTCAAAAACAAAGCAGTACTCTGTCAGTCATCTGTTATCATGGATATTAATTTTATTAACACATCGTTATGGAGTTTGTTATCATCCAGTACTGGTCACTTTGGCCTAAATGTCAGCCATTCTTTTTTATTTTATATTTTGTGACCTTGTAAGGCATTGTTTTTAAAATAGGGACATTAGTTACATTTTAGGCTATAATGCTCAGTCACTTGCAAAATATTAAAACCAACATGCAAAAAATAATGGTGATATGACATTTTTACCATATCGCCTACCCCTATTTGCTATGCACTCGGTCTCGAGGTTTTTTTTTGTTTGTTTTTTCCTTCTGTTAATAAACCCTGTTACTATTTTGAAACTCTTAAAGGTGCATTGCGCAACATTTCATATTAAAAATACCCTTTTTCTAACCCATACATGCTTCAACAATTGCCTGATGGGCTGAATGAGCCCTTCTCTGATCACTGCGATTGCCTCTATAATCATGTACAGTGAAATAAATAAGAGGGATTCGGGCTCGAACTCCACATAAGACTCCACATAATTTGCAAGTCTGTTCAGTTCAATGGCATTGTTTATGTTCAGTGCCTCCAAAATGGTCGACTTCCGGATTGATGACGCGTTGTGAAAACCCTCTATGGGCTATATGCACGCATAAGTTCCGCATTTGACGCAAGGATGCTCGTCCATTTCCGGTTGTGTAGATTAAAGCGGAGGAAAACCGGAGAAAACGGGATTATGGCAGAGTCTTCAATATTTACTGTCCTCCAGTCTTTGAAACGAAACGTACATACGTTTAGATGTAATTTTATATATAGTTATGTTTATTTAATATAATTTTAAAAAGAAGCATAAACACAACGAGGGGTGTCTGTTTTATCTGTTTTTGTGACTAACGTTTCATTAGTATAACCATGGAGTATAAAATTCAATATAAATTCTCGCTATTGCATTGGACTCTACGATCGGCGATATATATATATATATATATATATGAAGAGCTCTTTTCCAAAACGCGTTAAACGACATTTTTAAAAAAAATGAGTTTGTCGTGTCATTCTGCTGTGGACAGAACCCTTTCACTGCTCCATCAACGTTTCATGCCGAATCACTATATTTCCTTGTTTAAAATGTACTGCAAGATACAGTTCCTTTCCAAGCCGCGATAAGCGCCAGCCCTGTTTTTAGCCTAAACACGATAAATCCTCAAATTCAATGAGCGCTATACACAATCCAGCACGGCGGCACTCTGAACAGAGGTTTATTATGTTCATTTATTCCTCAAAATGAGTCCTAGTTTTCTAGTCGACTAGTAGTAGATCGTTTAAGCCATTTGTATTATCAGTAATCACATATATTGATTTAATTAAATGGGAGAGAAACCATATGAGCGTTTTTAATTGCATATTCCGCATCTCAACGTATGCATAAAGCTTGCCACAAAGAACCGGCAAAAGTAATGATTATGCATGAAACATTTGAATTGTTTATTAATAAACTGTCAGTGTCAGCAACAAAGATAAAGTTGATGATGCTTACTCGCCATCTTCGCAGTGAACGCGCATAGAGAAACGCATACTTCGAATTAGCCTACATACGCAGAGAGTTGCCAATTTATTTTAGTTTTTAATTGTTTTGTTTAAAAGTAGATATTTAAAGCTTTCTGTAGCTTAGTTCTCAGGCCTGTGTGAGGCAAGCATCGCGGTGTTTCGGTTCATATTATGAGACGCGCTCC